GAGCGAAATAGAATCTCCTAACCGAGTAACATCTAAAAGATATTATCATATCAATAAGGGATCACATCATAACATGTTAATATTCCGAGAATTTTCCAAGGCATGTAAAAGGGACAACCTACATACATACAGGTTTGCCAAAGGGAGGCATAAGAAACTATACATTAGAGTTCAATGGGGTCAAGAACAATATTATGGTGCAATAAAAGACAACCACGAATGTCGTTGTCAACAACAGAAATAATATATGAAGCAACGGTTGCAATTGAAGAAAAACAAAACATGTAGAAGATAAAAAGTTCTCAAGGAAGAAGTCAATATGAAACATTAATTACCAAGCGTCAGATGGAGTTCACAAAGGATGGAATACTGAAAATTTTGAGGACTTTAATTGTCAGCTCAACATGGTACGAAGAATGGGAGCTAGCACTAAGGGGGAGTGTTAAAGATCATTACTAACCCAATAGAACAAATATTATTATCTAGAAGAATTTAGCTTGTTCTAGAATTCTCTAGAAGATTCTAGAACGTTATGGAAGACTATGGAAGACTCAGGAATATACCAAAAGAGTCTAGAATATTCTATAACGACATGGAAGACCGTGGAAGGTTATGGATCATTCTAGAAGGCGTCCGAGCAACCTAGACCTCTCCAGAACATGGTAGAACATTCTAGAAACATATGCAAGATTATAAAGTATGTTAGATAATTCTAGAGTAATCTAGTATATAGTAAGTGGATACAAGTATCTAGAACCTTCCTAAGAGGCCTATAAATATGTATGCAACTCATTTGCTCCAACCCATCTAAGAAAAGCTTCAAAGAAAGCAAAGTGTGTGGTAGTCTCTCAACATGTAAAGTTCTTCTTAAGTGTCTTAATAAAAGTATTGTTGTTTCCCATATAAAGAGTCGTGTTCAATAAATGCTAGTCTCATGTACCTTGCATTAAATGTGGAGCAACACAAACATTAAAAGAATGTTGAGATCGGTAGTCACAACTTAGAGATAATCACATTGGGTTAAGTTTAAGTGGTACAAGTTTCATCCACGGTGTCCCAAAATGCCGATATATTCACCAAAGGCTTATACTCACTTAATTTCTCGATTTTTGGTTTGGTTTAAACATTTGAAATCAAAATCATAAGGTAAAGCTAATTAGATTCCCTCATCCTATCCTTTCTCTTACAAAGCAATATTTCGGTCTTCCAAAAAAATATACAATTTGAGTTTCAAAGTCCAAAACAACTTACATTTTATACCAATACATCACAAAGACCATTTCCCTCTTATGATTCCAAAACAAGTGTTAACATGTTATTGGACACCACCTTTTATACAAACCTTTTATTTGAAAAACTAAATACCATATAATGCAATTAAAATGGTAATTAACATGCATATTTAGACATAAAAACAATAGTCGTTATTGTTGGAAAACATTCTTTTTTATCAGTTCTGATACTATTTGTTGAAAATATATTATCTGATCACCACAAATAAAGACTCGGATACCACTTATTATGTGATACATATATATATATATATATATATATATATATATATATATATATATATATATATATATATACAAGGAATATTGATTCTTTTATTTTTGAATTCTGATTTTTTTACTTAATAAATTTTTAATTCTAATATAATTTGTTATTTTACTCAATTTTATTCTTTTAGAATGCAATTCTGATAGAATGGTATTCTATGAAAATGCCAAAAATATATTCTGATAGAGTAGATTTTTTGATTAAAGGAAATTCTTGTAGAAAAACAATATTCTTGAACATTTAATTGAAAAATAACATGATCCATATATATTCAAACATTGAAATGCAAATATAGATTCATACATATTCTTATAGAATAATAACAAAATTATTATATATTTGTAACATTCATAAAATTCAATCAAATTTAAAACTTTTCAACCATAGTAGTAGTAGCCGAAGGAAAAGTGACGATGCTAGGAGGAAGAAGAACGTTATATATATATATATATATATATATATATATATATATATATATATATATATATATATATATATATATATATATATATATATATATATATATCATAAGTTTATTAAAATTTAAAAAAAAAAAAAAAAAAAAAAAAAAGACGGACCGAGTTTCTCCAAGTTGGATCCGAGTTTGAACGATTCCAAATTTTTTGTTGGATTCTTAGAAAACCGCATCGTCGTCTTTCTCTCCATACATCCCAAACCATTACAACTAGAAACATGATCAAATGGTTCTTTTCGTTACGAATTTTTTTGGCGTGTTGCCAATTAAAGTAAAATTAAAATTAGATTCTGAATTGGTCAAACGAAACATCGAACCAAAATAAAATTTTTGCAAGATAATTTAATAAATCTCATTTATATTTTTATTGGTGAATATATGGAAACTATTGTAATGCATGAATGTTTATATAATAAAAAAAAAGCTAAAAATATATAATTTAAAACTATTTATGTAAATAGGGTATAATTTGAAACATTTATACAAATTAATATGCTAATAAAAAATATAAAATGGTACGTTTAAATTTGTTTATTCATTTATTTTAATAGAAAATGAAAGGAGGATCTCGTTACAAATAAAAAATATAAATATATAACATAATAGACTCTCATGGTAAAATAGATTTGAAAACAATTTAAAATAATCAAAAACGTCAAATCAATAGAGTCATTATGTAATTTTTGGATGAAAATAAAAAGGTCTTCCTATATACACAAATTTTTGGTGTATTTGTTGAATTAAATTGCATGTTTATACTAAATCAATCAGGTTTTAATTATTATTTATCAAATTTTCATTTAGAATTCTTTAATATAGGTTAAATTTATAATTTAACTCTTTGTAAAGTTTTACATATTACTTTAACGGCTTTGTAAAGTTATATATATTACTTAAATATTTTAGTGGTTCTTACTTTTTTTATTATTATTATTATTATTATTATTATTATTATATATATATATATATATATATATATATATATATATATATATATATATATATATATATATATATATATCAAAATATTAACCGTTGGTATTTTATTATGAATTTAAATCCATTTTCAATAAAGTTTATTTTTTACTATGATATATTTATCATTTTAAATTTATAATTTTAACAACCGATTAATTTAGGAATTTTAACTTGTTTCTAGAAACATCTATTTAACCACACTTACGTCAACTGTTATATATAATGAATCAACATTTTATGTCACGTCTTAAAATATGTTATAGCTCGCTTATAACTTGTCAATTATTTTTACGCCCTACAACTTATAACAATAAAACACCACAAGATATCATTTTGAAAGAATATGAGCGGTCCAAAGAATTTGGATTTGCTTATGAAAATTGTGGATGTCAAGTACATACAAGTTATGGGCTGCCATGTGCACATGAACAAGCTATATTTGTTAAAAAAGATCATTATGTACCGCTTCATTCAGTAGATAAGTTTTGGAAGAAACTTGATTTATTAGAATGCAAATTGTTAGAAGATGACAATTTGGGTTGTGCATTTGAGGTAAATATGTTTAATGCTCATTACGAAAAACAGTCAAGACCTGTTAAGTTAGGTTTAGCAAGGAAGTTAATAAACTTAATCACGTCGTCAACAACTTCAGTTTCTGAACGTGCTACTCACAAAAATACTCATGGGCGCCCCTCCTTAAAGAAGAAACTTTTCAAGAAAACCTATATCGATTTAAACCATGACCCACCACCTCAAGATCAACCGGCTCAAGCGCCACCAACTCAATATCTGTCTTGACGTAGCATTTCTACTTATATGCCTGATTATATGCGGTCTAATTTGTTTGATCTAAACCAGGAACCAGATAGGCACAGTACGTACTCGTTTCGAGAACCTCCAATGTTCAACTCAACTTTTAATCAGGAACAACCGATGCATAGCTCGTACTTCAACCAAGAACAAGTAATGTATAATTCAGGTCCACTTATGAATGAAATTCTATATGAATTTCATCCATATGTCACAAACATACAAAACATGAGGGGAGATGGAAATTGTGGATTTCGTGCAATAGCTGTGTGTCTCGGTTATAGTGAAGATAATTGACGTCAAATCCGTTTAGATTTACAGAATGAGTTGTTAGCACACCCAGCTGAGTACGCACAGATTTTTTATTACGATTTAAACACCATACATCACTCATTGAATTTCAATGGATCATGTTTCGCACCAAAAGATCGTTGGTTGATTATACCGGTCACTATCTTTCTCATTGCTAACAAGTATAGTGTAATAGTTATTTTTTCTAAGCAAAGATAGTCCATCAACATGTTTTCCACTATGGCTTGGTCCCCAAGACATCTCAACTCATAGAGTTGTTGTTATTGCTCTTGTTAGAGGTGATCATTATGTGAAGGTTGATTTACATGGAGCATATCTAATGCCTACTATTTTACCACTTTGGCATCACAACAGATCATTACAGTCTGCTAGATGGGAAACTGTTTATACTACTTGTCTGAATTCCTACATTTCTCCATTTGCAACACACAGTAATTGTAACAATTCTACAGTCACTACAAGAAAAAGACCCTTTTACGACGCGCAAACCACGACACTCATTGATTTATATTACGCAAAAGAGAGTGACATTAAAAAAGTGTCATCTCTTCAAAAAATTTAAGGATTTAGGTCACGCATTATTGCATGCCCTTAAATTAGTGTCATAAGAAAAAAAATTAACAACACGGAGGGCACTGTATCTTAAATGGGCGTCTTCTATAAGTGTCACTTTATAATTTTAATGAACACGCGTGTTTAGTAGATACGGGCGAAAATGAAATCCCCAAAATTTTGAAAACCCGCCTTGTTTTTTTCTACTTTCTATCTTTCATCTTAGCAATCGATTCTCCACTCTCCCTCCTCTCCTATCCGCTTCACCACCATTGAACCCTAAAAAATCAATCCACACTTCACGCTTCTGTGATTCTATCCTCTTCGGCTCTCCAATCTCCGATTTCACTCTAAAAACATCGATTGTAACCACCTTCAAGCACGATGCCTCTCAGCTACAAATCCAGAACAAGAACATACATCACTCTCAAACACCCCCCTTAGCTTGTTCATTATTCTCGACATCGTGTGGTTTCTAGGGCTCGAAGCAACCTCCTCTATCTTACATTGAAAATCATTCCCCCATCCCATCACTGACCCTTTTGGAGCTATTTCTAGGGTTTGAATCAACATTTACCCTTGTTAACAAGTCGGCCTTAAAATCCCCTGGAACGCCTCACACGTTTCTTACTATTTTAGCTGTGATTCATTGCCTTGTACATATTGCAATGTATAACGAGCACCTTGCAAATTCCACGCAGTCACACTCGATTTCTGGTGACAACATGTTCATCTATACTCTGAATACTTACCTGCTTTACATAAGGGGTAACGACGATGCAATTGAAAGGGGAGATGAAAATTTCATGGAGAAGTTACACCAGGTATTAATCACTTTTCTTCGTATAATCAAAATAACTAAAAATTAGTTTACTCAGGCTAGTTTGGGTTCCTGAAACACTGATAATAGGAGAAAATCTCTTTTGAGGTGAATATATAGGTCAAATAAGGAGATTTGAAGGATTTGGAGGCAAAACTGGAGACAATGAAGTCTGGGCCATCAGAGTTCGATCCGGGAGGAAACAGTGTTTTCCTACATTCATGGTACTCCTTTAGCTCAATTTCAAATTGACTTGCTCCAATGTTTTCGTAGGATTGAAACCCATAATCTCTATAAACCTTCGATGTTTCATGAGGAACCCAATAACTCTTCCCCATAGTCACAGGGATCACTCTATCAGCCATGATCCATGTTGTAAACGTTTCGTTCCCAATCATGGTACGTTATCGTTCCGATCGTAGGTGGAAACGTACTTCGGTACAGAAACTCAACGACCCCACTGAATGGCAAAATCGATTGCTGGAACGTGTTTTTAGAGAACGGATTTGATCTAATACGTGATTAGGATCACCAATTTGGAGTTTGGGTCGCCAATTTTGCATTTTTGGAATGCCGATTTGGTACCCTGGTACCAACGTTTTGTCTAATTGGTCTCAAAATCTACCAGTTTTGCTATTGATTTTTTATTTTCCTTATAAATTAGGATTCGATTGAAGCAACTGGTATGATTGAATTTATTGATTATACTCAATTTATTGATTTCAATCGGTTCACAACTTCACATTATTTAATGAATCACTTAAGTGATTTCAAATTTCAAATGGTCATTAGGCGATTTCACATCTACAACTGATTAGAAATAATTAATTTGTTGGGTCAGGGAATACATGGCCGGATTTTTATTGTTTAGCACACAATCTTAATTTCAAGTTATTAATGTTCCTGCTTTTTTTTTTACTATTCCTATTATGGTGTTAATGTTCTTGTTGTTGATTTTACTTTTAGAACAGATCTTAAAGCTGGAAGGGGAAATTTCATACATTCCAGTGGTCAGGGATATTAACAACAAACGTGGGAATGAAGAAGATAATCACTGCTTTTTGGGTGATATTTCTTTAGGCATGCCTTTATCTTTACTACTTCCATTGTGTTCCCTTTGTCAATACCAAACTCCTGCCATGATCAAACCTTTGAGAATGTTTTATTACAGTGAGCTTCAAATATCAACAGATGGGTTTTCTGATTTGAGTGTTGTGGCAGAAAGTGAATTAGGGGTTGTTTTTCTTGTACCATGTTACCTCTTAATATACCAATTATTTTATAACTCTTTTTTGCTTTATATAAGTTGAACTTTTTTTAATGCTCTTTTTGGTAAGATTAAATGAATTAATAACTACTGGAGTGAAGGCAGCACAGACAAACGGATTATCTAATAAAAACCATGGATGGTTGATGTTGTTGGACTTCCACTTAATGTTGCAGACCTTCTACCTACACTGGTAAAATATTTATTTAATAGGTAATTTAGGCTGGAAAAATATTTAATATTTATTTAACTAGTTTAATATGTGATTAATAGGTAAAGCTGACTAAAAAAGTTACTGAACAAGTGAAACTTCTAGCAGGTCACTACGTACCCCACCTTGCTTCTCTCATTCTCTCTGAAAACAAGAAAACAAACGGAACAAACATTAATCTTCGTGTGATTGTGGTAAGTAGTTAGCAAACGAAATAAGATAAAACAAGTCTTGTCACATGTAACAGACGCCACATAAGCACAAATACAACTAATGGGTGTTTTGTATTGAGATTGTGCAGATTGGGAATGATGTGATAGATGACAATGCAACTAGTGAAGGGATTTATGATTACTGCTGGACACATGCTCTAAACTATGATGAGACAAATGCAGGGATCAACGAGTATTGTGGCTATGGTTCTGGGAATTTCTCAGCAGAGTGTCTTCATTATCAAAGCCAATCAGGTAGTGAATATGGTGAGATTGATATTTACAACATCTATGCACCATTCTGTGATGGAAGTATCCAGAAACATGCCACTAGATCTGTAAGTCTCCAATTCCTTTCAAATACAGGAAATTGCAATGTACTTTTGTTTGAAGACATGATGTGTATAATTAGGTCAAGAACTTTGATCCTTGCTCTGATGATTATGTCTTATCATATCTGAATCGAGCAGATGTGCAAGAAGCTCTTCATGTCCGAAATACCTCATGGGGATTTTGCGGGTACCGTTTCCTTTCTATCTCGAAAACTAAGATTCCATTATTCCATAATAAACAAAATCAATGAAATTATGTTGTTGTTTCTTGTATTTAACTCATGATTTTATGTGCAGTGATATTGGAATGATAGACAGCCCAACAACCATTTTGCCTACTATCACTCAACTTATTGAAAATGGAATTAGTGTTTGGATATACAGGTAACTCAATCTAGTCTAACACCCAGTCAGTTATTTTCTCATTATGGCCTTATTTTCTCAGTTATTTATTAAACATACACAAAAGAAACATACATTTGATTCATGATGAATTGGCAGTGGTGACACGGATGGACGGGTCCTAATAATATCCTCAAGGTAGGTACTCTGTAAAACAAGTTGAAGCTTCCAGTAGAGACTACTTGGAGACCATGGTACAATAAAAAAGAGGTACGTAGTGATTTGAAGTCTCAAAAATTAAATATATAAAAATATATGTACCGTAATACCCAAATTTAATGTGTGATAGGTTCGAGGATATGTAATTCCCTAATGGAGTACCTCTTGTGGGTAGTTCAGTAAAACCTGATGTTCTAGAAGAGGAAAGAGAAGGTATTCTCTCTGCAAATTTTGATTAATAAATAGCAATGTTTAATGTTAAAAGAAATCTTGTTGGTTTATAATGTCATATTATTAGTTTTAAAAAAAAAATATATGAGCAGGTGATTTTGGGAGGTCACAACATGCATCTGATGCACTGTCAAAAGGTGCTTGGTATGCATCAGTGTTATCAAAAATGTCCGTGGAAGTAACAGTTCCCCTTGTTAATATCCTTAAGATTTTCTTTCTTTTTTGTTTAGGTCTTGAAGAGAGAAATAGATGTCCAACAACTCCGGTGGTATGGCTACTGTTTATTTTCCATGATACCAGTTAACATTTGGTATGAATCCCTAGAACCCTAGTTGAAGTGCTAGAAGGGAAAAGTCTAAGAGACAATGGCTGGAGGAACTGGCTAAAATTTCAGAAAAGGTAAGCTATATTTTAAAGATGATTGTCAAAAAAATTAATAGAAACTTGATATTTCATGTTATTTTTATTTCTTCCGATCTCAAACTGCAGCCTTATACTCATGTAACTAGAAATGTCTAAAGACAAAAACAAATATAAATATTCGTCATTTTTCCAATCCTCAAACTGCAGCCTTATTTCCTCCAATGTATATTTTCTCAATTTTAGCTAAAGCAGGATCATCTAGATGGTGCCTCTCCTTTCCTTTTTCCAGTTCTGCCCTTATAAACTAATATAAATATTCGTCATCATCATCATTGTTTGTTTTTTTGTTTTTTTCTTTCAGAGGTGAGCAAACAAATGTTGGAACTGTACGAACAAAACAAAGTGGCACCAACTCAGACAAGTGAAGTGGTTGACGGGACTACAGGTGGCGGGTGAATCAAAAGGGGGTTGCTGCCACGAGAGCTGTTGGATATTTTTTGATGAAATGGTTTGGTTAGATATTTTTTTCCATAAAAGACTAAGTGAACTGCTTGAATTCTAGAGAATATAAAGGTTGCAATTTCAGGTAATTGATTACAAAATGTGTCTCATAGAGGCAGGAAAGTAATACATCAAACAAGGGTATATAAGCAATTTGGTAATATCAAATTAGTCGCTAAAGAATAAAAAAATCATAAGCAATTTTACCCTACTTATCAATCTAATAATCCTATAATGGAAATTATAAGTAGGTTAATAAAAAAATACATTGTATTTATGTATAATAATGAGTTTTTTTAATTGTGGGGTTACATATATTGGTAGATTTGGGCCAGATGTTGCATTTGTTCGAGAGGAATTTGGTAGAAGGTCAGCAACAAGTATGTTTAGTGGGAAGAAACCCGTTGCAGCTGCTGTGAGTCTCTCAATTGCATCAATTCAAACTACATTTTGTTATTTTGTAGCTTTGAATACCGATTGAGGGTTAGTCTTGGACCTGTTGGAGACTTGTTGTTAACATCTCGTGTCAGAAATACAAACACAGATCGAAAACCATTTTCTTCACTGTTGCATATAAAACCTATTTTTCTGTTTCAGATATCAGGTATTAAGTTTTTTCGTTCTTTTCCATGTATATATTACATATAGTCATGTTAGAATTTGGTTTATATTAGTTCCTATCAAATGGACTTAATATCATGTTTTTTTATTATTGCATCATCTTAGTTGTTCCCAATAGAATGGTGTGGTTGTGTTTTCAAAAAAGATTCCATTCTATTGTTTCAGTGAAAGCCGTGTAGAAGGGTTGAAGACACTGAAATTAAGCACAAGGTACAACCAACATTCAAGACTCTTATTTCAGATCAGATCACAAATTCACAATATATTTTTGTGTCTTTGTTATACATATAGATACGGAAGGTAGATCCGACTTGGGACATGGAGGCTGATGAAGGAGACAATTATTCACATATTCCAGTAAGAAATAGAGTTAGATGATTATTTGATAGTTTTATAGGAATGGATAACCCATGTTAGCAATGTATTATTTTTGTTTAACATTTGAATGATTATTTGTATGACATATTAAAATTTGTGCAATTTATTTTATTTTTTGTGTATGAAATTTTATTTTATATTATGCAATGGATTGTATTTTTTGTGTATGGTATTTTATTTCTATTATGATACATTAAATGAAAATTTAATTTAAAATCTATAAATAATATTTTTTTAAAACATTTAAAATTATGATACACAAAAATGTGTGTTATCTTCATTTATGACATGGCCTTTCTTGACAGGGGCTTTCTTGATACGCATTGCGTGTCATTAACAAGCGCGTTGTAAGGTTACGACACACAAATGCGTGTCGTCTTCCTTTATGATAGAGCCTTCCTTGATACACATTGCGTGTCGTAAACGCGCATCGTAATTGTGCGTCGTAAATGAGCGTCGTAAATGCGCGTCGTCTATAGACGACGCGCAAAAGCGTGTCGTCTCTCTTTATGACAGGGCCTTCCTTGACGCGCATTTGCGCGTCGTCTGAGCCTTTACGACGCGCAATGAGCGTCGTAAAAGGCTGTTTTTCTAGTAGTGAGTTATAATATCTGATAATTAATAAAATCAAATTTACGTTTTGTTGTTTATAATTATTAAGATCTCTATAAATTAAAAAAAAAATTGTTTTCTTTTTTTATTTAGCAAACTTATATATGTGCGATTATGATGTTTCTAATATATATATATATATATATATATATATATATATATATATATATATATTAAAGTCTTAGAAAATAAGAAGTTTGATTTAAAAATCAATATAAATATAAGGATGTTTAAGGTAAAATGAAAAATGACATTAATAATTTTGAATAAATATTTTTTATTAAAAAAATCAATTTAATATATTAAAATTGATAACTGAGATCTATCATTTCAATCTAATCTTGGTACATTTAGATTTAACTTGGTGGAGTTAGAATCACCCAAATAAAATCCCCCTATTCAAAATGTTAAATATATTATCCATCTCCCATGAGACACACATCACATCTCCCGTTGATGGGAAAGCAAGTATATATCAGTCAACATATATAGATTTCCAATGCACTCATTATGACTAAGAAAAGCCTTTGTCATTGTACTTGTTCGTCGAAGCTTTATTGCCCAAAATATTTCTTTGGGTAAATTACACGGATAGTCCCTGTGGTTTAGGGTAATCTGCGTGTTTGGTCCCTAACAACTTTTTTTAACTCGGACCGTCCTTACTTTATATTTTTGTTGCACGCTTAGTCCCTATCTAACCTAAAAAGACTATTTTGCCCTTAATGACTATTTTTATTTTGTTAGTTCTTTTTATATTATTCCAGTTATTATTAATAAATTAAATTATTAATATATTGCTGGAAAAATGATTGATTCCAGCTTAATCCTCTACGGTTCTTACCACCACCTCCAGTCACCGGCACCAAATCCGGTCATCATCTCCGGCCAAAGATCCATACTACATAAATTATCCAAAAATCAAAATAAAGCCATCTAACGTTCAACACTAAATCTGAATATACATCTAAAACCAAACTTGTAACTCAAATTCAACACCAAAATAAAACCAGAATATGATGTTGAATCCTAGAAGAAAACCAGATTCAGGTGAATCCCCCTACCCTTTTGTCGAAAGTAGAAGAAGACCTTTTGATGCCTTCACCGCTTAACGCCTATCCAATCGATGAGGTATCCTAGAAATAATTGTGGTCTTGAAAATCAATGAAAATAAAGAAGATCGATGATGGGAAATCGACATTTGAAACCCAAAAATCCAGTCTAGAGACCGATAATATCAATGATAAACCAAATCGTTTTTTGTTCCATGTGAGAGAAGGGGTAATTCAGTGGGTTCGAAACTGAATAAAGGGGGGAACAAATAAAGACCCTACCGATCTTCAGAAACCCTAGAATCCATCTTCACCATTGCCAAAGTATTTTTCCCACGAACAAGAACAAAAATTGGTGCTTCAGAAACCCTAGTTCCCATCGCCGGCTGCCATGGTTGAGCTTTCTACAATTTCCGACATATAATAACAAGAGAACAAGGTGTGAAAACCCTAGATCCCTTACCAGGTTGTGCGATTTGTAGTTTATGTTTGCCAAAGAAACACCGACTTTCGACGTTGGTTCTTTTTTATTTAATATTGCATCTGATTGGTGGCGGTGGCTCGCCGGAGAATATATAAGTGGTGGTGTTGCTGGTTTGTTTGAGAAGGACACGAAAACGATGGAGGTGGAGGGTGGGGTTTTATGGGAGGGGCTGAGGAGGTGGGCCCACATATCTAATTAATATTTTTTTTCATATATATTAATATTTGTTTTTAATAACTAATATTTTAAAAAATGGTAAAAGAAATCAGTAAGGGTAAATTAGTCTTTTTAGAACGGACAAGGACTAAGCGTGCAACAAAAATATAAAGTAGGGACCGTCCGAGTTAAAAAAAGTTGTTAGGGACCAAACACACAGATTACCCTAAACCACAGGGACCATCCGTGTAATTTACCCTATTTCTTTGGTTTTTACACAATGCATATTCATGCACTGAATTTCCAATTTTTTTTTTTTTTTTTTTTACAAGAACGTACAAAACAGTCTGTTATATGCATGAATTATGATAACGCTCCTTCCCTAAACTTGCAAAAGGAGTTCCACTGTTGCAATTACACCTCCGGTTCTTCACCAGATGCAACACCGTCTTCTTCATCAAGTTTGTGTTTCAGTTCCTCATACTGAAAAGGTAACATTACAATTTACAATGAATGAAAAATCTCCAAAAAATTGTTTCTTGGATCAACTAAAATGACAAACCTAGGTAGCTCTACTCACCTCACAGATTTGTTCCTTGATGATTTTTATTGCATTAGTTAGATTCAATCGTTCACCATATATGTTGATCACCAGTACACTACTGTCACATACTGTATCCAGCTGCAGGATATCGATATATATATATATATATATATATATATATATATATATATATATATATATATATATATATATATATATATATATATATATAATGTTATTGTTAGCAAGTAGCAACACATTACACATGCATGAAATCATTTGACAACAGTTTAATCAAGATTATGACATGTTTGGAGACAAGTAGAGCTAGTAATAATGAACAAACCTCTATCCAAGAACAAGTTTGGGATTCCATTTTCAGTAGATTGCTTCCATTAAAGCCCAGTAAAGGTACATCCTATACATGTAGACACAAACAACAAGACTTGAGAATTGAAGAATAATATATCTCCTAATTATATATATGTTTATCTTTCTTGATAAATGTTATCCCCACCTTCATTACAGGAATGGTCATCGTGTGATGACAGATGCTTGGTGGCATTAGAGCTGTGGGGACAAACTCCTTTTCATCATATGCCTGAAAACAAATTATACATGAAGCACAATATTCTTTATATGAATCTTCAAACTTGTTTTAGAATCACAAGAAAGATGTGGGTATCGATACTAGTGTTACAAAATTAACCCATATACACCAGTTGTTTACCTTTGTAACTGCATCAACCAGGAGCATTTCAGCAACCTCAACTTCATCAGCACTTCCAAGAAGTTGAAGGTATGAGAGTCGATGAATCATTACAGCAGTGTCACAAAACAGCTCTATTGTAGCCCCTGACAGTTTGTGTATCTTTATCAATTCTTCATCACTCTTGCCAAGAATCCTTGGAATCTGTAAAAACTTTACAAGTTAAGGAAGAAATTTTTGACGATTATACTATGAAAAGACAGATAAAGTAGGGTTACATACATCCTTATATCGAACCAACAGACATTTGGATTTCACTCCTTCTTGCGTGATTGTCTTTTCACCTGATAACAACAAACTATCAGACTACTTTCTTGATACTTGTATTAAACCCACATCTATACAACCCCTTTGTATAAGATAATCAATGATTATAGAGTGTGCAACTAGAATGAAACTGTATACGAGAGAAAAGAGGGAACAAAAAGAAGATGGGAAACTTGAAGGGGAAAAACACTTCACTCTAAAACAAAACAAATTGGGGCTGATTTTCTCTAACTAGAATTGTAGATTGATTGGATTACTTATAAAGAGAATTGATCAAGTCTTTCTGAACATAACATCACAGGATCGGAAAACCTAATACCGATCACTTCGAAAATTGAAAATGTCATGCGCAATCACAAAAACAGCAGTAATATTAAACAGAATTCACTGACCTACAAGTTTCAGGTACATCACACCGATCACTTCCATATTGCTCTGATGAGATTCCGGCATCACATATTCTTCGACTATCGACTTCATCCCCGTTTTGTTTTCCTTCGAATTTCTTTCAAAATCGGTGATGTCGATGAGTTCTGATACGATTGGATTACTTGAGTTGACGGTTAGCGAGGATTTGGAAAGAGGCGGGATTTTTTGTTAGGGAATTTTCATAAAATCCACTGAGTTTTCAGAAGTTAATTTAATAACCCCCTGTTTTATTATTATTTTCAGAAAAACCATTCATATTTTCATTTTTTTCATAAAAACCATTTTTAATCTCTTTTCAATTCTAATATGCTGAGGTAGAATATATCAAAAGAAATAATAAGTGGCATTGAGAGGGTGTTTGGCATTGCTTTTAAAACATCTTTTGGCATTTAACTTTTCCAAAAAATTGAAAAATATCCAAAAAAATGTTTGGCAATTCAAAAAGATCTTTTAAAAATGACTTTTGAAAGTGAAGGAAAAAAAAGTGTTTCAAAAGTCATAAATCCTATCTTTTTGTGATTTTTGAGACTTTTAACCTAAAAAATTAACTTTTATGCCAAAACCAAATACAAACACTTTTTAAATATTTTCTTTTGGAAAAAATCACTAAACAAAAAGTCTTTTTTTAAAAAGCATTTTTAACCTTAAAAAGTTTTCCCAAACACCAACTGAAAAAGATTAAAAAAAACATATGATTTTCTTTTTTCCTTTTTACCGTCGATATAAGAGAGACCTTAAGGGTGTGATACAATACTCACAATTGGTTATCGCCACATCACTTTTCCACTCAACCACAAAAAGAGAGATCTTAAGGGTGTCATACCATACTTTACCATATTTTTTAATTGAATAAAATGTGATTTGATAATTAATAAAAATAAAATACTTCATTAATTAAAAAAAATACACACTGTATTAAAAAAAACATAATCTAATCAATGCCACTAGCCAATAAACCCTGCTTGCCGCAATGCCAATGTATTAGATGAAGTGGACGACGATGATGAAGACATTTTTAAACAAAAAAAGAAAGTTGTACATAGAGTGTATTGGTGTTTTTTTGTGTTGTAAAATGCGAATGGAATGGTTATATTTATAGTGTTTTAACAATTAAAAAAGAAAGGAAAAAGTCGTTGAAGGCTCAACGGTTAAAAAAGTAAAGTATGAGGTGCGGTGTATTTACTTCCTGTGGCATCCTCACTGCAGTCAAATGGTGGGGGTCGATGTTGTGTTCACCACACACTGCGCCCGCCAAATCAGCAACTGTAGTGTGCGGTTTGTAGTGCACCTACCAGCCTTAGTGAAAATAAGAGAACTGCAGTGATCGAATCCAACGGTGAGCTCAAAGTCCGTTTCAAACACAACATTTGGGAACCAAATAAGCCTTTCACATGGATTATGGTGTTGATTCCTGGTTCGGAGATGGGTATTTGCTTGAAATTTCGATAACAAAACAAGGTCAATCAATTGTGTTTTTATTTCAATTTCCGGATACCATGATGATTGAATTGTTGCCATTTACCATCTTTATTCCGTTAAAATTAGCTTTTGAGCTTCATTTGAGATTAAGTTATAGTTTGGTGAGGGAGAAAGCAAATTATCCATGTGCTATATGTATTGAGCTTCAAAAGTTGTACCATGGAAAATTCTTTCAATCTTTACCATGTCTGAATTGAAATGCATATATCTAACAAGATTTAGTCGAAACAAAACAGGTGGATTTGAAGAAGAATGAGATAGTTATTGAAGACATGGATAGGGTGATTATAAAGGTTGGCTTTAATCGATGATAATGATCAGATCAAGATTAAGAGACTTTGAGTTACTCTTTAGGTTGCAATCTTTTTTTGGTTTACATGTAATGTTCCAGACATGTAATGTTGGTTTGAAACTCTAAAACTAATGTAAAGAATCATCATTGTGTTGTGTTATTACATTGTGTTATGTTGCTTATGTGACAACAGATGTGGCATTTGTTGCAGAAAGCTCAAGAACTGATCATTCTCAGTTTTGTCCATAGATGGTGCCGAGAAAACTTCTTCATCTAAATCCAATCATGATGTTCTCAAATGCCATTATACTAATGTGTTTGAAGGCTGAAGTAAAAAATAATAATAATAATAAAATAAAATAAATTTTACAATGAACACTAAAATTGACAAAACCGATAACCATTCAAGAAAAAGCAAGGAGTGCAAAACCGATACTTTGATAATTAAAAAAAAAAACGCGGGATATTTTGTTACAACCGATAAGAAAAACAAGTCAATACACATCCCGGTATTAGTATATTTTTTTATAAGTTGAATAAGAAAAAGTTTGTATATTTTTTATAGCTTTTGGAACCATATTAATATGGTTTTTATAAGTTGAATAAAAAAAAGTTAATATAAAAAAGGGTTGGCTAAAAAGACACCCTATAAAAAAACAAGGCAATAGACATCCCGATATTATTAGTTATGGGGTATAACTAAAAAAGAAAATAAATCACTTTAAAAGCAACCGCATAAAAAAACGCCTAAACACTTCAAAGAGCTATAATTAACCTCGATAACGATCCATCTTTGGTATATCATTTTTTTATTATAAAAGATTTTTTTATTTTTTTCGAAAAAGGTTATCGTCGTTTTTGCGAAGTTTGGCCTTTTTTTAATTTTTATATCTTTTTTTAGCTTGAACATATTGAGTTACTTACAGTTTATACTTAAATATTATAATTTTATTTTATGAAGTAAACGCTTTCATTATATATTTAATGGACAAGTAGTTGCCTTATATGTAATGTGTAGTATGTAACTAATCTCTGCCATATGCTTAAATGATAGTATTTGAGAAAATATCGATAATTATATATAAAAAGTTGTAGATTGTCTTTAGTACCATGTGCATAACATAGGGGGATGTTCACCTGTTTGTCATATAGGCTCAATGCAGCTTACGCTATTGACTAGCACTATCTAAGACTATAAGTGAACTATAAGACTTTTTTGTCAAGTGTGTTGATTGTTTAAATAAGTGTTATTGTTTTAAGGTGTTGATCAATCTTATTTAACTTTTGTGAATTTGTTCCTTCATATTTTTATCCATTCAATAACTATATTTAGGATTAGAGTAAATATTTTTTAGATTAGGTCTTGTTGTCTTTTTTCCTATAAATTTTGTTTTTATTGTAGGAATTATTTAGTATTTGAGGAAATATCGACGCTTAAATACAAAAATTGTATATTGTTTTAGATATTTTTGTTCTTTGTTATTTAGTAAATTCTGATTTTATGTTCGGATAACATCAGTACTACTAAATCATCATTTAACTCAATATCAATTCCTTATATGAAATCATTTTGTTTATAGATAATTTGTATATTAGTCGTGTAACATATTTTGTTTGGTAATTCTACTTTTGTACAATTAAATTATTTTATTTATTTGCAATCATTGTTTCAATCCAAAATCTTATTGGTTATAGATACTCTTTTATTTGCAATAATACTCTAGTGTTTTCGATTGTTGGATGAATTTTGAATCATTTGGCTTGTATCATTTTAATTAATTTTCTTGTACGAGTCTAGCATAACGTATTAACATGTACATATGCATATGGTTCAAAAAGCTATGGTAAAAACTTGAGTCAAGTTCTTAAAAGCTTAAACTTGATTCATACACGTTTTTGCAAGCTTTATTTATTTATTTTTATAACAAATGAGCTCCAATTAAATTCAATTAACTTCGTAAAAGTTTGACTGGTTTCTGTTCCTAATATGTTATATGATGGAGCATAAAGATATTTTTTGTGTAATTTTAGAAACATAGAGGACCAAGTTGTAAATATCGGCCAAATATTGTTAAATGCGAGTTTGGTTATAACGAAATTTCCCGCTCATTTATAATTCAATCAGAATTCATCGCCATCTAAACCATCAAATTGTCTCAACGAAGTTGCAGAAGTCTTTTTCTCCATAATTCACAGCTCTTTCAAAGCAAGAAAATGGATGACGATTTCGTAAGGGACGCACGAAAGGGGAAGGCAAAGCTTGAAGAAGAAGATCCAGATCCAAAGCCAAATCCATACGCTTTGCTGCCTGTACCAATAACAAAAAGCTATAGCAATTTGGGTGAAGATGTCGTCTACCTGAAACTTTTTGGTAAGTAGTTTGCAATTGATAGTAAATGTATATTGTAGCTCATGTTCTTGTTTTGTATTATACTTCTAAGTGAAAGAAGTAACTGATAGCTGTTTGTTTGGTGTTCGAATTGAGTTCGATTTGATGCAGTTCTGATGAAATTAGGTTTTCTAGAGATAATTTCTTCCGAATTTCATCATTTCTTTTTATTTCTATCTGATTCATGTGATCGATTTTGTTGTTTTGACATCAAAATCGATGATACATTTGAAATCGTATTTCCGTTCTTGTTAATTCAGTTTAGGTAACTTTCCAGTTATATCCAATTGCTGCATCGTACATCGTTCAAGGTTAATGCATCAACGAAATTTGCGGACTAAATCACTGTCTCTGTTATCAGGTCCACCAAGAAACTATGCAGAAATTGCAATGGATACTCCAGAAGCAGTGAAGAAGATACAATTTAGATTTCGTGAAAAAGAAGTAAGTAATCATCCTTCATTTTCCTTTTCTTCATAAACCAATCTTATACGACTCATTCTAATTCTCCTTTCTTTCAATTCTTAGTTTAACAGGATTCTTGGGAAAGGTGATACAAGGATAATCAACATTCAATGTGTCTCAGGAGCCACAATTGGGATTCTATCTGATACTGCAGCCAAGATTCATCGCCACTTATATCTAGAACTACTGGGTACTGCTGATCAAATCAAGACTGCTGAACTCCTCATTACAGATGTAATTACAGAGGTAAACAACAATTCAGGACTTTCAAGTTTCAACATCTGAAATCTTTATAGATATTTATTAAAACCAATGTTTTCAGGGTTATGAAAAGCCATTTTTCACAAGAGCTTTAATGCCAGCAAATATCTTTCATTATCGAACACCCATTTTTGTAACCCAAGTTGTAGCTTTCTTGGGCTTCAATAACAGCAATGTTTTGAAAATGGAATCAGAATCCAATACTTGGATAGAGGTTTGTTTGTTGTTGTTCATACATAATCTTGGTCAAACCATGGTCAACTCATATTACGACTATATATATTTAGGTGGATACATATCCTCCTGAAGGGTTAATCATGATGAGAATGGTCAACATGTATGGTCAACGGCTAGATGTTGCTAATGCGATCATGATGATTAATGCTTGGGTTGATGAGGTGAGTCTATGTCTTTATTTATATTTTTTTGTGATTGGATTATTGAAGAAAGTTTTTTGATTGATTGATTGATTTTTTTTTTTTTTTTTTTTTTGGGTTTTTATTAGTATGAATTTGGGAAGAGGAAGGAAGATGGAAAACAGAAAGATGTTGACGAAGATGATTCTGGAATTAAAGAAGGTGGTGATGAAGTAGGAAATGAAGCAGAAGGTTAATGAGAATATAAGAAGAAGATGAAAGATTTTTGTTTTAGTGGTAAAAAGGAATTGGGAATTATTGTTGTAAATGTAAAAGATGGAAAATTTTACACGAAAAAAAATGGGTTTGTGTGTAGGAGTAACAACATTTGTTTCATTAGAAAGAAGGGAAAAAAAAAGGCGTTACATGTAGTCTTGTTGTGTAACAAAAAGAATTTGGAAATGAAATCAAAATCATTTTGAATAAGAATTTGCATATCCTAAAAACTTGATCTAAAATACATGGACATTTTTGATGATATGGAGAAAAAAGCTCATATGATAAATATCTATAATAATGAAAATATAGTATAATATGAATTTTAATAAGAGAAAATGCCAATTTTTTTTAACTTCTTGGCACAAAATAGCCAAATAAATGACCCTTTTAGCCATAATGTTGAAAGATGACCATTTCCGCTAAAGATGACGTAAGATAACGTCATTTGTGATTTTCTTTTTCTTAAAACGACGTAGTTTGTTGACTATGAATGCTGAGGTTACCTTCATTTTTTTTTTTTTGCTTATGTATTGTTTTGTCATTCTGACTGCAAAAATCTATATGTGTTAGCGGATGTTACCTTAAAAAAGAAAGTTTACTAAAAAACTTATCAAATCGTCTTCTCTCATCTTTGGAGTAAAACTTTAGTTGTTTTTTTTTTTTCAATCAATTATATTTATCTTAACTTTTGTGCTTTTATTGATATAACATAAGTTCAAAGGATTCACATAAGTATTTTATTGTTGTTTGTGTTAGTGGTTCATGACAATTAGAAATATAAAAAATTGATATATGTTAAACCATTTGTTAGAAATTTTGGTGTTGAAATTCTTGTTGATATAAATTTCATAGATTTATACAATTTGGTCAAAGAGGTGGCAGATTTGGATGACAAACCTAATATCAATGTGTCTTTCCAACACTCTACCTTGAAGTGTGTTATCCAGACAGCTACCTATCGATGAGGGTGATGTGAAGTGTTTAAAGAAAATTATTCGGAAGGTTTCGACTCATGTACATGTGGATAATGATATAGTGGAGGAGACAAAGAATGTTTAATTGAATCCCGCAAATCAATATGTTTTTTTGGTGGGAACCTATCTAGCAAAGGAAGAGTGTCTAGTAGTAGAATAGGGAAAAGCTCTACTGAGAACATAACCATTAACATTCATTTTAGATAGGGCGTCCCCATTGGCACGACCATTGCAATATTTTCCCAAATGCGTTTCATGGTTTATATGGTCATTACCTCTTGTCGAACACTCGAACATAGTAGCCAAGTTCAACAGAAATGTTACAATAAAAACATTGTTTTGGAAGACTGCAAAAGCTTATAGAGTGGAAGATTTTGAGTACTATATGGAGGCCATGTGTTGAAAAAGCCTGTCAAATGGAAGTACTTAATAGAATCAGATCCAAAAATATGATCATGGGCATATTTATAGGCTTATCGTTAAAATCTTATGACATCAAATAGTGCAGAATCTATTAACGCAATATCAAAAGATGTTTGTAAGATATATGTATTGATGCTCCTTATGTTCTTTCGAATGGCCGTACAAAAACCAACACCATTCACTAAAAAAGCCTCATTTATATACCATCCAATGTGTAATAAATTCTAGACAAGAAAGTGAAAGAGTAAGCCTTTTTTTTACAAGCATGGAATGAGTTAAAATAATTCAACACTCCATGCACCATCATAATAAAGTAGAGACCTGTAAGAAGCATGGGTTAAATTATTAATCAATGTAAAAGCAGCCTTACTCCATAACTACCTAGTTGGAAACAAGCCAAGTCATTTCTCAAAGTACCCAAAAGGTTTGTACACAATATTAAAAATTATATCATATGATATTTCACCAGTTTATTTGTTCTCTTTATTATTATTTTCTAAAAACAATAATTAACAATATTTTGGTAAACATTAATTTCATAAAATAATGTTTTTCCAATTAAAAACAAGTGTTTATAATAGTTATTAACAATCAAAATTACTCTAATAAATAATAAATTAATAGTAACTTTCAATAAGGTGTGGCCATGTAGGATCATATGCGACGTAGGTTGAGGGTCCAAGTCTTGTTGTGGACGTAGGTTGATTTAAGGAGTAGTTTAGAAGTAGGTTAGATATGTTGTTTAAAAAAAATATGTTATTAACAATATCAGTCTATAATGACCCTTGGACATAAAGATCTTTCACGCTCCCACTAGCCCTATTGAATAATAGATCCCTCTCATGGAATACTAACCCTTTGAGAAACAACCATTTTGTTCTTATAAGGTTCGTAAAACAATCACCCAAAAATCTTGTTGGGATATCCAACGAGATGAAACATCTTTATTTTGGGTCTAGACTGTCGAGCATTTCATGATGAGCGTAAGCATCATAATTATAGACTTCCATATGTATTAATGATGGATGAAACCTACTCCACATCTCAAAGAGTGTTTCATAAACATTCTTAGTTTGTGTGAGACCAAAGACTCTTGTAACACTATTCATGGTACAATCCATGAACTGTTAATAATTATACTATGAATCATCCAATATGATATCCCCATTTTCACGGTCAAAAAAGAGCTTTTTATCTATGCTTATTTAAAAAACAAAGCATTCTTTATACAACGAAATTTATCCCGTAAAAGTATTTTCAAAGAAAAAATTTTCATTGATTATTAAAAAGTGAAATGACATAACTGATACAAGAAACATAAGCATAAACATAATCATTACTGGCCTTACAACATCTAATGGCCTACACTTCCTCGAGTCTATCATCATTTCCAAACATCAAACACCTTCGTATCAATACATGTAATACAAAGAAATTGAGTGAGTTAGGTTAGGAAACCTGGGGAACATAGGGTGAAACATCCCAAAAATACAGACCAAAAATTTCTTTTTAAAACATTCATAATAAAACCATAAGTCGTCCATTATTGTAAAGAAAACCATAAATCGTGTATCTCTATACAACATCTCCAATATTGTATCAAAATCATATGAGAAAATATCAGAGTCTAAACATCCTAGGCTGAAACTGTCACACCCCCAAACTAGAACGGCAGAAACGTTCGGGGGCAGAGGACGTCATGCTCAGTAGCATAACCATAGTGAAGAAAGTAAACACAACCATCATAAATATAATTTAAAAGGTTACATCGTTGCAAAAAATACATGTTTCCAAATAAATTACATATGATGTCAAAATAGTTCAAAAGAAATCTGCGCCTTAGCATCTTGCCTTCAAAAATCTTGTGGATTACCTGTATTACTGAATACCTGAGAATGCAAGTTGTTTTTGAAGAGTATCAACATAAAGATGGTGAGTTAATAAGAAATTTATGAATGAAAAATGAATGATGTTCCTTTAAGTTTGTTACAAGTTTGTTTCCAAAAAATCCAGTATTTTCTAAAGGTTTGTAGTAGCCTTAACTGAACCAAAACTTAGTATGTAAGTAAATTATCGTACTTGTGTGTGTGTGATTTTATATTTAAATAAAACCCCTTAAATCCCTGTGAACTGTGTGTTTTGTTAAATCCCCATGTGAGATGTTATAACCATGCTAAAACTCGAAGACCTTGTACTCGATGTTCTTCAAGCGTCGAAATGCTATGATACTTGTCACCCCAGACCTGCCGGTCTAGCTGTTGCAAGCAGCTTAGGTGCGGGTTTGTCAGACGCAATATAGATCTATACACAACTATCACGCTCTCCCTCCAAGAGATTCTGATTATAACTACAGGACTTTTCTGTTTCACTTAAGAGTACCCCAAAGGTGATGTCTCACAAATTTATTCATTAACGAGTTCACATTGTTTGTATTGACACACTCGTTTTGTAAATCGATAGTATTACTATTACTTTGTTAAATAAAGTGTTCAAATTATACCTATTATAGTTTATCAGTTGTGTGTTATGTTTTAACGAAAACTTGATATGCATGACCTTGTATTTCAATGAAAAAGGACATTGAAACTACTAGGTGTAAATCTTACACACCTTTCTCCGCATGTTACAAGGTGTGAATAACTCTTAAACTTGTGTTTGGCATTTTTACCCTTAACCATCACTGTTTTAGAGTATTCCTAGAAAAATCGCATGGAGATATGCAAATAGTCATTTTAAGGGTATGACATGAACTATTTGCAAAATAAATAGTTTTGGAAAAATATTAAGTTTAAGTCGGGTAAAAACAGTTCATGAACATGTCACAACTTTTCTGTTGTAAGCTATCCAGTTAAGTTTTCAAATATGTTTTGGTGTTTTAACTTGTATTCTCAGGAATCTCGGAGCTTCAGACCTTCATCGGAATTTGGATATGAAACCGGGGCGTCGGGATAGTTTCGGGAGGCTCGAGAGTGAAAAAGGGGAAGAGAAAATATTAAATTAGAAAGCCAAATTCGGAAGCCTCGCATCCTATTTATATGAGGGAAATCTAGCATCATACGTTGGGCGTACTCCAAAGTACGCGGGGCGTACTTCGTCTGCAGCTTGTACGCTGGGCGTACCCTCGTGCGTAGGGGATACGTCAGCGATGACGTTATCAGTTGTCGGTCTTTGGATGGGATGGGGGTAGAGGGCATAGGGGCGATGTGGTCGATCCGAGGCACTTCATCTGTGTACGCTGGTCGTACCCTCGTACACGGGGCGTAACCCTTCGGATAAGCCTCAAAGTGTGTGCCCAAATCTTCTAAAATGCGTAACTTTCGCATACGCACTCCATTTTTGACGTTCTTTATATCCACGTGTAGGTGAGAATATACTCTACAACTTTCATTTAGACTTCGTTGGCAAATTTTGATTTTAATTTTAATTATATATTATTAACAGGCCGGGACAGGATAAATCCGTTAAAAATTCATAACTTCTTCATCCGATGTCCGTTTTCGTCTGTCATTTTATTGTTGTACTATTATTGTCAAGATCTTCAATTCTCGTTTAGGTCGCGACGGCTAAAAGTCGTTCGATCTTTATTTCGAGTTTTTAGCGGTCTACTGTTGTTCTGACACTTATAAAAAATCATAACTTCCTCATACGAAGTCAGATTTGGAAGTTCTTTTTATGTACACTCACGGTTTGTTATTATCTA